TGCTTGGCAAAACAATGATAAGTGCTTTTGCTGCCAAAAACTTCTTCATTGCTCTGTGGGACCGCGTAACCTTTCGCGCGATTGTTCCAACACGCAGGACGTTCCCTCATCACTCTTTCTTGAATGGGAGCAGAAACTCCAAAATGTGCTTGGTTGTATTGAACACATCGCTTCCAAATTCTGAGCTATATGCCTCTTTGCTACTTGACTAGCTGTACTTGATTGTATGTCTTCATTAACTGAATGCACCAACCATTCTCGTTTCACCTTCGTCGCACCAGACTCAAGTCCGCTTTACCCTAATTCTGGTTATATATATACATATATATACATATATATATATATTTCGGCCCGTACAATACGGTTACTAGCGGAGTGGACTTCCTCCACCTCAATTTGTATGTGCATTAGAAAAGAATTTATGTCCATGCCTATGCGGATCCATCCGCTTCCAAGTAGAAGTATGTGTTCTGCTCAACAGGAGGTTTAGGGTTCTTCGCTGGACATCATCAAGGGTTCATTGTATTTAGGGAGATGATGGTGGATCGTGGGGTCCCCTGTCAAGGTTGCATCCGCTCAGTGCTTCCAAAAAAGTTCCAAATTTTCATGTTCAAACAGCAGGGGGTCCCCTTCCAAATGGTAGCTTCCCTAAAAAAGGGGCCCCAATACAGACACCAAAATATTATAATCCTTGTTATAGGTAGTCCCCCAAATCATGTAAGGGCTCCGAAGGGGAAGGCCGTCGTGTAGAGGGCCAGGAAGCCGCGAAGGGTCCAGGTATCCAGGTATCCAAGAAGTAGGTACTTGAGTTTTGGGTAATAGTCATTATAGTACAGTTGTTGATTAAGTATATGGTTATTAGTACTTGGACCCTTGGGGTATGTTTTTGTAGAAGGAAATTGATACTCGAGAGATAGGCCAGCGTCAGGTCATCAAGGAATGAGGGCTTGGTGTTTGGGGGAAGGTTGACGGTAATCGTTTAAAGCCTTAGGGTTTAGGGTTTGTTGTAGCAGAAGTATAGTATAGCATGCAACAGAAGTGCTTTATTCTACAGTTTGTGGGCTTCAACGGCTTTGTGGCTGTTGTATGGCGCTAGAACCCCTAGGTACACCTTTAAAGCCACCTAGGCTTTCCATTTTCTTTTCCATAATCCCTATGTAACCGCAATATACCCCTTTATTAATCATTGCATGCCTCATCTGGGGGTTGGTGGTACTCAGCACAGGGGAAGGTGATTACGCGGTTCACGGTTTAGGGTCAGGGTTCTACAGGGGGCCCTCTAGCAGCCATGCCCATCATGGGAGGTTCATTGAGCAGCTATATGGAGCTTTCCTGTCCCAGCAGCCCGTTTACCAAGGATTATTACGGTAGAATTTGGTTGTATCTTCAGGCGACCCTTATGTCTGCAAATCCCATATGTAAGGCTCTATGTATCCCAAGTATCAGAAGACCTGGTCAAGTTATCCTGCTTGTCACCCGTGTTATTCCAACCCATGAGTCTCCAAGTGGCGTTGACCCTAAACGCTAAGCCTGGGCGTTCATGGCGGGGTCTTTTAGAACCGAAGGAAGGTTCGTACTGGACGCCAGTCCGACAACCCAGAAGCCTGTAGGTTTGGGGTTAGGGGTTAGGGCTGCGTACATCTTATGTCCACAGAACCGTGAAATTCGTTCTTAGAGTTTGGGGTTGAAATTCTGAGCAGCTAAACCCTGAAACCCTAAGGCCTAAATCCTAAACCCTAAACCCTAAACCCCTAAACCCTAAACCCCTAAACCCTAAACCCCTAAACCCTAAACCCAGGAGCACATCAAGCGGACCAACTTGACTCTGGACATCTCCAGTTACTACGCCCGTGGCCTTTCTCAAAAGAAAAGAACAGTGGCACCATCCCCTAGCCGTAATCAGGGTTCAGGGTTCAGGGTTTAGGGTTTAGGGTTTAGGGTTTCGGTTTAAAACAACCGTTTTACTTTTTTTTTGTTGTTGGAGGGTGGGTCCATGTATCTTAGGAGCTTACAATAGTTCAGGAAGCAGAGCTAGCATGTTAGTAACCCGTTTAGGGTTTAGGGTAGTAAGACTCTACCTTCTTCTTGATGATGTGGGTACTTTGATTTTACGATCTGCCTGATACGCACAATACGAACCCAGTAATGTCCCCTTGACCCTGTATACTATAATGCCATAATTCCCAGGGCTTACTCCGGGTCATGCAAGTTGTTCAGAGCAATCTCTAAAGAGAGTTAAGTTGGGCCCTTCAAGCCAATCACCATGAGTCTGTCTCTAAAAGGATCTGGAGGAACACTCCAACCCCTGGGTTTAGGGGTTTTTAGGGCAACGTAGTAATATGAAATGGTGGACCGGGTGTGAAATGTCAGTTGCTGCCCAACCAATGAATTCGACAACCCCAAGTTTACGAGAACCGCAAGCTAGGGTTTAGGGTTTAGGGGGTTTGGGGTTTAGGGTTTAGGGGGTTTAGGGTTTAGGGCTTAGGGAACCGTAAGAAGACCCCTAGATCCTAAGACTCTATCCGCAAAACCTTATTCTGACTGTGTATGCTCCTGCATTATGTATTTGAGGACCCTCAGCCCCCCTAGACCCTAAACCCTCAACCCACCCCCGTAGCATCCTTCATGAAGAGCACTCCAAGACCCTGGTAACGTATTTTGAGAAACCCTATTGTGTTGCATGCCACCAACCCTGAACCCTAAACTCTGAACCCTGAACCCTAAACCCTGAACCCTAAACCCCTGGATTTTGAGAACGGCCGCTGCTTTTGCAAAGCTGATTGAGCCAAGCCTCAGGGATTTTGCAAAGTCTCTGCAGAGGTGGTTTAGGGTTTAGGGCTGAGCTATAGTCTAACCTCCTTGGGTTTGGGGGATTCGGATTTAGGAATTTGGGGTTTAGGGTTAATTAATTGAGCTAGAGTCTGAACTCCTGAAAGGGGGGCAGTATAGGGATTATTAAGTGGAACGCAGGGAGTTAGACCATAGCTCGATTTAAAGGGTTTAGGGTTTTGGGTTAATGTTAGGTCCTCATCTGGGCCTTACTGACTCATTTCCTCACTTAGCCAAAAGAAGAACTTATACCTTTCCGGGATTCCTTTTGGGGTCTCTATAACAAAACTTAAGCTTATTTAGCCCCGCTTATTGGGGAAGAGAGTTTCTCGTGTCCTAATTCTCGGCCTGTAATTGAACGGTGCAGGCTTTGGGGTTCCTAGTGCTTATAGAGCAATAAAGCATGTAGGGCTTGTCCGGTTTCCACTGTTTACGGGGTCTGCCTTGTAATGTGCAGCTTATTGTCTGCGAGTTTATGTTGGGGTGCTACAGTGTAGGACATAGGACACTTGATTCTACAGGGATGTCTTGGAAGTAGAGGGTTAGTTCAGGCCGCTGTCCTTCCTTCTATTCGGGCTCTGTAAGTTCAAGGTAACCCTTAAATACTCCGGGTCTCTCCAACTACCCTTAAACCCTAAACCCCTACACCTTAAACCCCAATGAGGACTCCGGTAGGCCCTGCTTAAGGTTTCTTGGCAGGTCCGAGCAAGGGCATGTTTTAGGATTTAGGAGTTTAGGGTTTAGGGGTTTAGGGTTTAGGGTTTGGGGGTTTTAACGTTATTAGAAGACCAGGAACCGTCAACCGGGTGGGATTTTGCAATGAGGCGCGGGTGTCCCAGCCGGCTCTCGGGCGTGTGTTAAAAGTCTCCAAAACAGGATTTTGCCTGGCAAGCCTACTTACCTCAAAGAATGCGTTTAAGGGGCATACTAGGAGTTAAGACAATGGCTCACGTGCGGGGCCAAAAAAAAATGTGGGCGGTCATAGGTAGGGTTGTAAGTCGCCAAGACGAGGTCATAGCCTGTCATACCTAGAGATATCCTGCTTGCCGCCCTAAACCCTAAACCCTAACCCCTAAACCCCTAAACCCCGATTGTCACTACCATGGCCCCAAACCGTAAACCTCTAAACACCTAAACCCTGAAGCCCTCAACCCCTAAACCCCAAACCCTAAAAGCCTCGGCAGTTTAGACCTGACTTTGGAGACTTCCGCAACCTTGATTGATGTCTGCGGCGCGTACTGGGGTCAAGCCTAGACCATAATAACAGCCTCATGTAGGAGGTTTAGCGTTTGGATTTTAGGGGTTTTGAGGTTTAGGGGTTAGGGGTTTAGGGATTTAGGCTCTAGGGTTTAGGGTTTAGGTAGAAGCCTAATTAAAGTCCATGGGCTAAACAGAGAAAAGCTGCTTGGGGGGGCTGGTTCTTTACCCCAATCGTGATGTTTCGGTATTCTCGTTTTTGGCAGGAGCTGGGCCGATGCTTGGTCCAAAGATTTGTTTTTTTTGGTTATTCGTTTTGGCGGGGTCCCGGGGAAAAAAAAAGTTCCTTCTATGGATTCTCCCCAATGTTTTAATAACTTTGGCGTATTTTGGCCGTCCGACACTGTATGTTTTCTCATTGAAAACACCAAATACTCAATTGTGGGCACCCGAAAAAATGAACCATCTTGGCGAATTCTGCCGCCCGATGTTTTTGTAATTTTGGGAATTTCTGGTGCCGCTGAGGCTTTTCAATCTGGGGCAACTTTGGCAAATTTTGGCCACCCGAGACGTGCTATACTTTCTAAGTTTGGTGATTTTTGGCCATTTGCAAGATTTTTCTAACACCCAAACTTGGGAGCCCCACAAGACCAGTCAATTTTGGCCTCGACGCCTAGGCCCTCGGAATTTTTCCCTGCTGGCGCACCCAGGCGATGCTCAATTTCCAAAGCCTTGTGGTGCAAGTATACGGGAGTTTCTCAAAATTGGTGCCC